GGGAGGCCCTAAACCCTAAAACCCTAAACCCAAAACCCTAAACCCTAAACCTGAAACCCAAAACCCAAAACCCAAAACCCTAAACCCAACACTCCAAACCCTTGATCCCGAGCTGCCTGGGAACCCTGGATCACTCTCAGATCGCAGATGTAAGACGATAGGAGCCTACATAATTACCAATACTATTTTTTGGGGATCCGAAGAGTCTCCAAATACTTTAGAGGGTTTAGGGTTTAGGGATGTAGGTGCTTATTTGTAAGGTTTGAAGGTTTTATGGTTTTAGTGCGTAGGGCTTTAGGGTTTAGGGCTTAGGCACGGTTTAGGGTTTAGGGTTTAGGGTTTAGGGCTTAGGGTTTCGGGCAGCATCAGAAAAACCATTGCAATGTCCACCCCATGGGGGTGGGCTTCGTGTTCGGGTGGTGAGGAGAGAGGCTCTCTGGCTGAGATGCCCGTGCTGTTTAGGGTTTAGGGTTTCTTTGGGTTTAGGGTTTTGGGGTTTAGGGTTTAGAGTTTAAGGTTTAGGGTTTAGGTGTTTTTTTGAATTTAGGGTTTTAGGGTTTAGGGTTTAGGCTTTAAGGTTTAGGGTTTAGGGTTTGGGAGCACTCTTAGTAGGGAGAGCGCTGCCCTGAACCCTGAATGCGCAGACCCAAGCCCCAAACCCTAAACCCGATACCCTCAACCCTAAACCCTAAACTCTAACCCGAAACCCGAAGCCCGAAACCTTAAATCCTAGACCTTGAACCCCCCCCCCCCCACTGCAGGGCAAGAGGTCTTAGTAAGCAGGTTTATGCAGGTATTGACCGAGGTCTTCAGCCGCCATATTGGATTCCCGTAAGTTCGTTCCAAAGCCCTTCAAACTAAGCCCTAAACCCTAGACCTCAAACCTTAAACCCCAAAAACCTAAACCCTGAACCCTGAACCCTAAACCTCTCCCTGTGATGTGCCGGAGTGGATTGCAAAAAATGCCATAAATCCTAAACCCCAAAGCCCTAAGCCCTAAATCCTAAGCCCTAAACCCTAAACCCCACACCCTAAACCCTAAACCCTAAAACCCTAAACCCTACACCCCAAACCCTCCGAGGTGTGAGGAAACCGTCTCCAAGCTTCGAGAGGAAATCGACGCAGTGCAGCCAGGGCACCCGGCTCTTGGTTCCTCACCTTTTGTGGTTTTAGGGTTTAGGGTTTAGGGTTTAGGGCTTCTTATGGGCCTTATGGGGGTTTGCAGGCTTCTTATGTTTTGTTTTAGTGGGGTTTCTAGGCTTCTTATGTTTTTTTTTTTTTCCGGGTTTGTGGGCCTTTTTGTGGGGTGTTATGGGGTTTCTAGGCTGTTTCAAACTGGTTTTACGGGCTATTGTAGGGCTTTGTAAAGTCTAAAAACGGCTTAGCGGGGTTTCATAAGTGGTTTGTAGGGTTTTCAGAGGCCCAATGAGGTCGTATGAGATTTACGGCGTTTTGCAAGACTCCAAGTAGCCCAACGTAGGTACCGTTTATCGACTTTAGGCACCACAGTAGGTACTATTTGTGCACTTGGAGTCTTAGGGAACGGCTACAAAATAAGGTTTGTAGGGTCTCTAGGGGTTGTATAAAGGTCGCATCTGTGCGGCTTTAGGCTTTGGATTTCGGGTTGACCTTTGTTGGTTGGAAGTTCAAACTAGAAACGGCTCAGGGCTTTAGGGTTTCAGGGTGGAACCACGACGGCTTGAGGGTTTGGGGTTCAGGGTCTACACTAAACTCTAAACTAAGCCCCCAAACACGTAACCCCAAGCTCTGCATGGAAGTTTCAGACATTTAGGGACCCCGAATGCAGACCCTAAGTAGGAGGACCCTTAAACAAGGCTAAAAGGTTAAACAGCGTAACCCAGAAGCTTGAATAACTACTTCCAGTATTCCTTGAGGTATCCGTACTATAATTCTGCAGTACTAATACACTCATTTCTAAGGCCTTGAACCATAAAGCCCTAAAGCCCTAAAACCCTAAGCCCTAAAGCCCTAAAGCCCTAAACCCTAAAGCCCTAAAGCCCTAAGCCCTAAAGCCCCAAAGCCCTAAAGCCCTAAAGCCCTAAAGCCCGAAAACCCTAAAGCCCTAAAGCCCTAAAGCCGTAGCCATTTTGGCTCAAGCTCTGGCTCAAGATGCCCGTTCCGAGGATATCTGAGATAGGCACTTACCCATTTTCACTTCCTCACAAACATGAGGTTGTGGATCTGGATGCAATGGCATCAATTATGATGTTCTGTGATGAACCTGTCCGTGACATCATCTCTGGATGGTCTCGATCTCGATACAGTGTTGAGGAACAAATGGTGGACTTGATGAAAGGTGCAGTCGATGATTCTTGGACTACCGCTCCTGGGCGGTGGCATGAAGCTGTTCGACTTGTACAACATGATCTCGCTCCCTTGCGATGTGATGCACTTGATTTTAATTCTGATTTTGACAAATGTCGATGGGTCAAAGGCACCTCTGCTGGTCATGGATATGTTTCAGAGACTGGTGGTACTGCTCGCAAAGATGCGACTACATATAGACAAGCCAAGAAGGCTGCCAACTGTGAATTTCACAAGTGGCGACGAACTGGTGATATTGACATGTGGCATCGAGAACATTCTCCTATTGCCATGGGTTATCATCGGACTCAATTGGCTTCGCCTGACAAGTACAAAGTCCGAAACGTTTTCGGACTTCCCTTTCATATTATACTTTTGGAGTCTTTATTCTGTACGCCACTTTATAATGCACTGCTATATAATCATCAACGTGTTCCTATTGCATGCGGACTGAACATGCAGGAACAACTGGTCCTTCTGCTCTCAGTTGCTACATCTCGGAAGCTATGGATTACTGGTGATTGGAGCAGTTTTGACAAAACTGTGGCTCCATTTGAATTTCTGTCAACTTGGAACATCATTTTCAAGCTGGTGAAGTGCCCAAACAAGGCTACACTGGAAGTCTTTCGCTTTGTGCGACACTGCTTTCAATTCTACAGATACGCTGCGCCGAATGGTCGTTTGTATTTGATACGACACCTGGTGCCGTCTGGTAGTTTCTTCACTTCATTTTTCGACTCAGTCACCAATTTGGTGCGCTTGCGGTGGATTCAGCTTGTGTTGACTGGATATCCACAAAAGACTTTCGTCTTAGGAGACGATTTTGTGTTTCTGTCACCTGATTTCTTGAAGATAGAAGACTTCGAATTTTTGGAACAATTCCTTCTTGCGCGTTTAAAGCCGGGAAGTGTGATTTGTGACCGCACTACTGAACAGTTGATGTTCTTAGGACATCAAACCAGATGCGGTGCACTGTTCCGCAATGTTGAGGAGATCGTCAGACTTGCGATCCTTCCTGAAAAGGAAAGAGATCCAGGGACGACTTGCTTGGCACTCCGATCCCTCTGGCTTGATAGCGGAGGTCGTTATGCTTGGCTCCTTGATGCTGGGCGATTTCTCGAGATGTCGTTAGATGTCAGCCCGTTACGCA